TAGCTACTAAAACCAATGACTAAACTTTAGTCACCCATGTTTGGTTCTAGTGACTAAAGACCATTAAAGTAGTTCAACAAAGACCAAACTACCTCTAATGAATACCCAAATCAAGGTGAGGTACTAGCAATAATGAGGGGCAACCCTTGTCCACTAGGTACTTTAGCCTACTTTTAGCTACTCTTGGGTGATTAATGTGACTAAACTACTTTAGTCCCTTTTTAGTCAGTTTGTTTAGCAGTTAAGGGCCTATTTGGTTTCACATGACTAAAATTTAGCTACTAAAACTAATGACTAAACTTTAGTTACCCCTGTTTGGTTTTAGTGACTAAAAGTGACTAAAGACCATTAAAGCAGTTCAACGAAGACCAAACTATCCCTAATGAATGCCCAAATCAGGGTGAGGGACCATCAATAATGAAGGGCAACCCTTGTCCACTAGGTACTTTAGCCCACTTTTAGGGCCGATTCGGCTGGTATTAAAGCCGGCTGATAAGCCGGTCTTGGCTGATTTGTTGTGAGAGAAAAATACTATAGATTCTAGCTGATAAGTCGGCTGACAAGTTCAAGCGAACGGGCGCTACTCTTGGATGATTAATGTGACTAAACTATTTTAGTCCTTTTTTAGTCAGTTTATTTGTCAGATTAGTAGCTGAAGTGACTACAGTTTAGTAGTAGGGGAACCAAACATATTCTTAGTAGCTAAAGTAACTAAAGTTCAGTAGCTAAACTTTAGCTGGAACCAAACCGTCACTGGTTAAAAATCTCTCTTGTACTTTTGCAGACTACTGTCTGCTGGCTCGGATCCGTGTGGTGGATGGATGCTTCGTGGAAGGAAGAAGGATGGATGCACTGGCAAGAGCAGGAGGAGCAACCGAGCAGCAAGCGGCAGACAGGCGGATGTGGACGAGACAGGCAAACCGACAGGAATCGATTTACACATATTACGTTATAATTAATATATAAATAGATTATTATAGGCTGGCATCATCTGAGGAGGACTTGCGTTTTGTTTTTATATAAATAAATAAGTTTTCGTTTCAGAAAAATAGATAAGTAAATATAAAAAATAAATTGTTGTAGTACGGGTGATGAACTGGTGATGATGATGGATGGCTCAACAAACAAACGGACGGCAGCAGGAGAGGAGAGGTCCTTGTCGTGGTGCATGCATTTGCATGCACGGATGCAGCAGTACGCATAGTTTTCCTTGCAATCTTGAATATCGCATCTCCATCAGATATCTGACAGTTGTTGTGGCCCGCCCTGCTGGCATCATTATGTGGCTCCAAACTCTCAATAGTTCTATTCAATTCGCCAATCATGCATTTTCTTTATTTGTTTTGTTATAAGCCATTCATTATTTCTCCTAAAACATCTAGTGCCGGTATGTATATTTGTACACGACGTCTATACTATTATCACACACACTTGCAAATCATTCAGATCGATTTCTATTGTCAAAAAAAAAAAAAAAGAGGTAGTGGTAATAAGGAAAGAGCTAGTGGCAGGAACTAAGCCCTGGTTGTAGGTACCTCCTCTCAGTCCTTTGGTGTGCTTAAAGTTGCTTCAGAATCCAGATTACTAGATTAGCATATATAGTGTATACTAACACATTTAAATTCTCTCATTCATTCTCTGGGTGTTGTGGTGGACAAGCAGGGTAGGATCGGATATATGCAAGACCTTGTCGTCCAGTAAGCTAGCCCGGCCAAAAGCAGAACAGCACCACGAATAAATTAAATTAAACAAAGAGGGTTAGCATCATGTTCCCCCGCCTTGTGCCTACCTTACAATCAAGGGACACACCTTTTATTTTCGCGTCGGGTCCGTCCGTCCGTCCTTGCTGCTTTATTAAGCCCTTTATTTTCCATCATTCATTATGATCTCTCGCTCCCAATCAACATAACCGAAGGAACCCCGGGCAAATCAAGAACCATGCAAAAGATCGACCAACGCAAGCATATAAGCAACAAGAGTTGCAATGATCACGGATACGTTCGTTCGTCAAGGAAACAATTAAGCGCCATCCATGACATGATTTGAGAGCACTTGGTATATTTTACTATTAGATCTAGAAAACTATTGCAGTGTGCTAGGGCTAGTGGCACACTCTCTCTCCCTCACACACACAAACCTTGCTTGCTTGCATTCCGGTTGCCGGCACCTACCCCATAATAATCCTAATCCATGCATATGCACCGGTGCACCCATCCATTCCATCCACTCGGTTTGCGGGTGGGGTTTCCGTCGTTGCGAGCAAATGATTGGGCGGGCGGGCACCGCCGCACCATCACCGCACCGAATCGATCATGCCTAGCTATCGAAATCGCGCGCCGGGGCCAGATTGCTGCTGGACGTACGTACGCGCGCGCGGAGATGATGGTGAGCTCCGATCGATCCGTCCATGGCGGCATGCAGCTGCTGGCAATAGCTCTAGTAGCTAGTACACCAGTAGCGGTTGGTGTGGTTACTAATAAGGTTGAGTAAAGCTCAAGATGAGACGAAATGGAGCTGAAATTGAAGCAATCATATGCATGGGCCCAGCCAGTGATCGAGTGAGTGAGCTAATGCTAAGCTAAGCCACTCTCAGGAGAGGGAGAGAGAAACGGAGGGGAATCGATCATTGGGCGCTACTTTGCTTTGCAATGGGGTCGCGAACGAAACAAGATGCTCCTCCATCGACAATAAGTATAATGCTTGTTGTCTTCTTCTTTAATTTATCTTTTTATTAATTAACCTCCCGTCGATCATCAGGACACGTACGGATGTGTGTAGATCACAAGCGGTCCAACTTCTGCGTAGGATAGGTACTAGATGGACTGGACATATACATTTTGGGCCATGTAGCTCGCTTTGATATGATCTGGGAGCTAGACGATGTGCGCACGATCGAATGGGGAAGGATCGATCAGGCAAAAGGTCGCCCGCACTTTCTTGTCCGCAAAGTTTCTCGCTAATCCTCATTGAGTAAGCCCCACGGCTGAAGAATTTGCATTTCCCCTGCATCAACACAAAGGGAGATGTGCGTGGTCCCATGCATATCGCCATTCGCCCCGGATTATTCGGGCTAACAACCAGCCTAGCTAGAACCATGTAATTTCCACATTTTCAGGTCCTCCATATTGATATAGTGGAGTGGCTAGCATTGAGCTGCACGCACGCACCAACAAATTTGCTCCACGCCACGCTTTCATGGGATAGATCAGAGAATAGTAACAAGGGCAGTTGCTTTATATTCTTTTTTTTTAGAAACAGTTGCTTTATATTCTTATTACAGCTCAAAACAAGAGGGCTGTAACTTCGACTCCAAATATAAGTTTCACAAGATATCGATGGGTTAATACGATACTTTTATTAGTAGTAATACCTAATAAGGCCCATGTTTTATAGGCCGTGTGCTTTAACGCAGAGGTCGAAAGTGATCTCAAGAAGGTTGTATCAACTCGGTAATTATCTTGAGTTAATAAAATGTTTCCTTTAGTTTCAAAAAAAAAGTTTCCTTTATAAAAAAAAGGCCCAACAAAATGTATATCTTTGTATTTGGCAAGGATTCATCGGCTTCTTGAAGAAATACCTATTGTCTTTGTATTTATCCAACAAAATAACGGCGTGTTCGGCTCGGCTTGTCTCAGCTTGTTTCAGCTTATTCTCTCTCACAGAACACTATTGAATCAGCTAAAACCAGCCGGAACAAACTAGTACACAGTAAAGTTTTGTATCAGCCGAACGGGCTCTTAAGCCTCCACATTACCATATTAATAGGAGGAAATAAAATCCAAGTGCCCATACACATGTGAAAAAATCAACCTCCACCGTCATTACACAAAAAAAAATGAATACCTTTATACCTATTCTGCTATATATCACTAATGTAATTATTAAGAAAAACTCGAAATCGATATAAAAGAAAGGAAAACATCTATTTCGATAGAAACATTGACGAAGTCATAGATTCCAAATATCAAGCTAGTGATTAAGTTGTAGTACTATGGTTGAACAACATTGCTGTCCAAATCTCGGTTGCATTGCTATCCAAATCTCAGTTGTCTATCATTCTTGTAATATCGAAGCTTGAATTAAGTTGGAACAATTCACCCTATGGTTGTAATCCTGTAGAACTCCTAGGGCACTTGACAGCATCACATCATTTCTATGTTAAACTCTTCTACCTTAATTACAATGATGCACAAATCTTTTGCCTATTCGAGAAAAAACTATAGTTGAACAATATGACATCTATGCAATTTGTTCGAGCCACTTTGTTAGTTTTTAAAGAGAGACTGATTCCATTCTTATCCTAAGAAACTGTTCTTTCAAGTTCATATAGAATTTAGTTCTGATTCCAATGAATCTTTGGGATTTTCTTTGTTTCTCCTCATTGGAATCAATTTTGTTTGGTAGCGGTTGCAGGTTTATACAAAGTGTTGGGACATCCGTAGTTTTTCCTCACCCTTTTATTTTTGTAAATCATAGTACAGCACAACCACTCAATCTTAATGAGTATATTTCTATTTGACATCTATTGTATTAGGTGTTGAAATTTGTTCCCAGCATTGTTAATGTTGCTTTCACTAGTTCTCCGAGGTAAGTACATCGCACTAACTAAGGTTCGTTACCTTGTTCTCCAAAAAAAGGTAGAGGGGCCTTAGATTGTCCATCAATCAAGCGATGAAAAAAAGAAAGAAAGAAGGAAAACAATAAAAACACATCACCAACTGAATAACCCAAGCATCCAGTGGTGAAGCGAGGACAGAAAAGGACACGCGGCTCCAGCAGCGTGAATGGGCACGAGCCACTAGCATGCGCCGTGGCGGGAGGCTCCAGTATAAATTCTGCCGGGAAGACGATGCCGCACACTCTCACCTCAGCCTCACTCACCTGCCTTCCCAATCATCAATCGCATTCTCCCTCCGCGACCCAATCCAGCTCCAGGTGCCGACAGACCAGAGCCAGAGGCCAGAAGAGCAACCAAGAAACCGACGTCGCGCACGCACGCAATGGCCACCACCTCGCTCGCACTGCTCGATCATCAGACGCTGCAGCTGCCATCACCGCCGGCGGTGGCGTACAACGGCGGCCGCTCCGACCGCCTGAGCCAGGAGATCTTCTCCATCCTCGAGTCCAACTTCCTGTTCGGCGCGTCGCCGCTGGAGGGCGGCGGCGCGTGCTCCGCGGGCCGCGTCCGCGTGCTCTCCATCGACGGGGGCGCCGACGGCGGCGCGCTCGCCGCAGCCGCGCTGGTCCGCCTGGAACGCCGCCTGCAGGAGCTCTCCGGCAACACCGCCGCGCGCGTCACGGACTTCTTCGATCTGGCCGCCGGCTCCAGGGCCGGCGGATTCCTCGCGGCGGCGCTGTTGACGTGCCGGATGCCCGCCGAGGCGGCGCGCGAGTTCGTGGCCAAGAACAGCAAGGTCCTGTCCGGGGGGCGCGGCGGGGGCCTGATGTCGATGTCGTTCTGGCGCGCCCGCCCTGAGGCCTTGTTCCGGAAGGTGTTCGGCGACCTGACGGTGCGCGACGCCGCTGCTGATCCCGTGCTACGACATGGCGAGCGTGGCGCCGTTCGTGTTCTCCCGCGCCGACGCCGTGGAGGCCGACGCATTCGACTTCCCACTGTGGCAGGTGTGCGCGGCGGCCTACGGCGTGGGCCCCGCGGAGGTGGCGTCCCTGGATGAGCGCACCAGGCTGCACGCCGCGGCGGAGCGGCGGGGGCCGGCGGGGGTGGAGTGTCCGCCGTTGTGGCCAACCCGATGGCCGTGGCGCTCATGCACGTGCTCCACAACAAGCGTGAGTTCCCCTTTGTCGCCGGTGCGGCCGACCTCGCCGTGCTGTCCCTCGGCGGGAGCGCGCCCGCCGCCGCCTCCTCGCTGGGTCGCCCCTCGTCCTCCAGCCTCCTGCGCATCGCCGGAGCCTGCCAGGCCGACATGGTGAGCCTGCCTGCCTACCTGCATGACCGGCACCATTTCTCGAACAGGGTAGCAGTTGGAACGAACGAACGGACAGGACAGGACTGACAGTGCGCCTCTCGCGGTTTGTTTTGTTTCGATCGCAGGTTGACCAGGCCGTGTCGATGGCGTTCGGGGAGAGCAGAGCGACCAACTACGTCCGCATCCAGGGCAACGGCATTACGCCCGGCGAGACGGCGGAGGCGGCGCTGGCGGAGCGGGGCGTGGAGTCGGTGCTGTTCCGTGGCAAGAAGCTGATGGCGCAGACCAACGGCGAGCGGCTGGACGCCGTGGCGGAGCAGCTGGTCCAGGAGCACCACCGCCGGCTGGAGAGCAAGACCGCCGTGGTGCTGGTGAAGCCCTCCGCGACGCCGCGGACGTCGTCGTCGTCGGCGTCCACGCTCATCACCGTGTCAACCAACTCCTCGTCGGAGTCGCCCTGAGACTGCTGGCACGACGACCGACCGAGCGTGACAGCTCGGCTTTAACTAGCGTGGCCTTGTTTTCCTTTTCGCCTCTTTTTTATTTATTGGTTCGTTGGGTTTCTAGCTTAGCGCGGCGCCGGCGCCGGTGCTCGGGGTTTTGATTGCCTGCCGGCGCCGCCTGCGCGCTCGCTCCCGGTCCCGGCCGCCGCCGAGCCGACCCGCCTGCTGCGGCCGGGAAGAAAGACCGAGGAGGGCTGTGGAGCGGCGAAGGCGCCAGAGATGATTTGTGTACGTAGCTGATAGGAAGGAGATGTGGCTGTATGGCTGTATGTGTGCCCGTGTGCGTGTGCTGCAAACGCAGCGTATGTACGTACGTGTACGTAGTAGAGTGCCCGGAGCTTGGATTGCAACGCGATGCGATGATGATGCTAGTACTGTCGGTGTGGCGTTTACTGACCACTGCTCAGCCTTCTTTCTTTGTCCCGTCCTGGTCTGTGATGCGATGCGATGCGATGCGATTCTTCAGAGTCACCTGCTGTCATTCTGATAATGGAGTATTTTCTCCTCTTTTTCACGTCGTGGACTGATGAAATGGACGAGCAGGAAGGAGTGGGGAGTACGTACTATCTGACAGGAAGTCGTACTCGTTGGTCATGGACATGAATGTGCTTTTGCTCACGCTAGTCTGTGGTCTGTGGTGTGGTTCAGCTGCCAGCCTGTTCGGCAGGCTGGCTGGCCAGCCCTCTCTCGTACGGGTACTGTTTACGTAAACAGTGTTTTCGATCAAAGCAGTATTTTTCTCGCGCGATACCGGCCAACGGTACCTTCTCACGAACCGACCGACACCGACAAACATCATAGGTCTTGGCACGGAACGCAAAAGCGGAAAAGCACTCTTGTTGGGCCGGGCTGTACTTTCCGCGCCCCAGTTTTTCCTTTTTTATTCGGTGCCAAGGCAAATGGAAGGCATCTAACAAGGCCCAAAAAGGTAGAAGAAGAGCCCACGGGAATTTCCGGCCGGCTGTGTCATAGCCGAGCAACACTCAGATCTTCTTGGGCCTGCACGTTCGGCCCAGATTCATAACAGTAATTTTGGCCTGGATTTTTTTTGAGGGGTTGGCCCGAAAGATTTGATCCTCTCCGGAGGAGAATGTTATTCGAGACGTTCTTTTGTCCCCTCTTGAAAAATCAATCCCTAAATGGTTGGACCGTTTAAACCATTAAAAACCGTGTAAACAGAATCGAGTTAAATGAGATTAAATGAGCTAAATGGCCATTTAATTCATAATTTAATCAATAGGAGGATTACAACTACTACAATAAACACCGAACTAATTAGCATAGTAAGTATATGAAGTGTTGTGGGATTTAGATTTCTTCCAAAAAAAAAGATTATTCGGTAGAATACTTACTTTTTACATGTGTAAATATGTAGACTTTCTAGTATATTTGACTTTTACGCATAAATTTGTATATTTTAGTGTTAATATCTCGCGACCGTTTAGGTCGTTTAACTCCGCTTAAACAACGTTGTTTAAGCGGACTAAACGCTAAAACGAAGGGTGACTCACTGTTTACCGTTTAGCAATTAGGATAACATTGATCTTAAGTTTGACCAACTTTATAAAAAAGAGCAATAATTTCTATATCACAAAATAAATATATTACAAAAATATAGTTTAGAATGTATTGGAGATACTAATTTGGTGTAATAAATATTGGTGCTCTTTTCTATAAAATTGGTGAAAATTAAAATAGTTAGACTTAGGACAGCTTTAGAAGATGATTTAATTTGAGGTGGAGGGAGTATATAAGGTGAAGGCGATTTTCTAGAAAAACGGCTGATGCTGATGCTGATGCTAATGCTGATTTGTTGTATGAGAAAAATACTGTTACATCATTGAGACGGTACGGCTGATAAGTTCAAGCGAACAAGGCCGAAGTAAAACAAAATCCTAGCCTCCCCACCTGTGCTAGGCCACACGTATGTGGCCGACACTTATGACATGGTTTCAGCTCACATCAGAGCAGACAAAAGGCATCGTTCAGCAAATATGCAAATCATGTTAATTAATCTCCACCTATGCTTGGCGGAATTTCTCCTCTCTTTCTCTACCAGCTGAAACCACTTTGCTATTGTCCTCCTCATTTTGCAACAAAGCCCAGAAAACACGCGACAACATATCTTCAACCCAGGGAGGCCGAGAAAGTGAGAAACAGAGCCCAATAATAACCGAACTGTTTAGCTCTCAACTTCAACAAAGAGCTTTTTATGACCACAACAATTTGTCTCAGCTGGATTGCCCAACAAACAAAAAAAACTTATGCCACAACTTTTTTTCTACCATCACCATCTCCTATTTTAAAAAAATAAGCGAAGTTAAAGCATACTCCTCCGTCCCAAATTAAGTACACATCTAAACTTATTGAGGTCAAACTCTTTGACATTTGACTAAATATAGAGAAAATAATATTAATATTTATATATCCAAATAAATTTATTATGAAATCCACAACCAATCTAATGATACTTAGTACATCATAGATATTAGTGTTTCTTTCTATATATTTATTCAAATTTAGGAAAGTTTAACTTTTTGATAAATGAGACGTACTTATTTTAGGACGGAGAGAGAGTGCTTTTAGATTTTCGAAGAGGAAAGGCGTAGCTTTGACCAGTGTGCAATGTAACCGTCAAGCCGTGACAGCAAAAGAGCACAACTCCGTGGTGCCCTTGACATGAGAGAACTTATCTTCAGTCAATTCAGGCTCCTTGTGGACTGTACGTATATGAATCTCTACACGTAGTAGTACTGCACCTTTGTACGAGATATACTGTACGTGTCGCCGTTAGTGATAGACAGCTCTATCATGCTAGCTAGGGAAGCCGAGAAACAGTCGTTGAAGAAGACCACCGCAAACGAGTCCACCGTGCCATTGTCTGCACAAGAAAACTGCAAGGTCACCATCCATGCCATTGTCTGAAGACGGAGAGGCTGCATGCCGTCTGCACGCTGGAATTCAAATCGTCATCGCCTGTCTCTCTTGTCCGATCGAGCAAGCTCTGACGCCGGGATCAAGTAAGACCGGAACGAGTAAGGAAGTGCTCTCTTCGTCTCCGAGCGAGACGACATTCTAGAAGAGAAGACAAACTGCTTGTGGCCCGGGGAGCAGCAATAGCAACTGCTGGAGTAGCTGGAGGTTGCAGCAGGACATTGTGGACCTTTGCTGACACGGTGCTCTCAAACGCAGAAACCATCATAGTTTCTATGAATATTGGTTGTCTTTGTGCATAGTAGCGTTTTCTTGCGATATGGCGGAGTAGTTATTGAAGAGAGATGACAAAATGTCGTAGAAATCCAGGTTACAAGTTAAAAACCATATCTACTGCGAGAACAAAGACATGAAGGAATGTGATTGGTAGAGAATGGAGAGAGACGTATGTGATTGGATAAAAATTATTCCTTAGAAACTATCCAGCGTTTCTATATGTAGTGTCTATATAAAATTAATAGGTATAGTAGTTTCTAGCATTGGGATTGCCTTAGCTCAGCCTGGGAAGCTGACACTATGTTTAGCATAATACTATTCGTTTCACTGAAATTTGAGCCATCTTCAATTTATTCTAGAGAAAAAGCAGCTGTTCGATTCATTAAAAAGTAGAGATCAAATAGTGTGAAAAAGTCGACCACGACCATTGATAGATCCTGCTCATCAATGAAGCAGTGGGTACTGCTGATTAGCGACCATCAAATGATTCATTTCAGAAGCAGCAGCCACCAGGCACTTACTCCCTCCGTTCCGTTTCAAATTTAAGTTTATTCTGTTTTTATACATATTTTTTTTAAATGGAGAAAGTAAAACGCTGACCGAAAGGACGACATGGTATCTGATTAATCCGCAGACCGTTGGCTAGTATAAGATGATACGACTGCCACTAACAAATTTATAGGCACGAAAGGATCGGAGGTGACAGCAACGTATACTAGTATATATTTATATTTTTTATATGCAAGTAAAGTCTAAACCAGATGGTTTGGCTGGACTCGATCCAAAGGCGTACGTCCACATCTATCGGCCATCGCCTTCGTTCCTGGAAGCTCTCTTGGATATCAGTCAGCTTAACCATCTGGAAACGCCGCGTGCTACGACTCTGACACGTCATCCACTCGTGTATTCGTCGTCGTCATTATCTTGGATGTAGTAAAAATTAGTTCTAGCTTTAAACCTAGACAAGTTTTTTTTCACAGAAAAGTAAATGTTTTTTATTCTAGAGTTTGTTTTTTATTTAATTATTTCCCGTGATGGCTCCTCCTTTAATTAATTTCAGGTGTCTCGTGTTTGTCTTATATTTAATTTAATAAAGAATGGTAAGGGAAAACCACAATGGGACTAGAGATCTAGACATCTCTATTAGTATGAATCTGTTTACTTAGCATGTACATGATGTCATCACTAATTCACGGTTCATATCAGTGTTTTGACATCATATCCAATGAAAAGCATAAAAGTTCTAGTAGGACCCATGCCATCCCTTAAAATCATGTCTTTCTTATAGATGGTCATGCTGACTCGCCACATAGGCAACCACGTGTCAATTAATGGCATTTGCTGCACCTGGAGTGGCATAATTAACAGGTTTAGGGATTTAGATATGCAAATCAATAATTTTGGGACTTAGATGGCATACCAAAATAAGTTAGGGATTAATAGTGAACAAAATTTACTCATGCTGTTTGGAGAGCAATAGTTCTAAAAAAATAATTGATAAATTAATGAGTTTTCCAAGTGACTAAAAAAGTTGAGAGTATATTTGTTGGGTTCCTCCAATAGTTTTTCAAATCTCGCTCCTAAAATATAGAAAACAATTTTACATCAGGAATCCCGAATTACTTCTAAATCACTGCAGTCACTTTTATACTTTCTTTGTCTGTTGTACACATTTGCATTGGGAACCACGTGCAAAAACTCTATTCTTTCCATGTCCTTCCACATCTAGACTGCCCGATCGATATGTG